AGATTCCTTAAAATCAAATCAATCAAATATTTAAGCAATTTGAATTTGATTTGATTTTTTCAAATTGAATTGAATTAAACTTAAATATTTGATCAAATCAATTTGAATCGATTTGAATTTGATCGAATCAAATCAAAGTGAATCAAATATTTGTCAAATCAAATCAAATCAAATCAAATCAAATTAAATCAGATTGAATCAAATTAAATTAAATTAAATCAAATATAAAAATTTTTTTAATTTTTATTATGATATATTAAAATAAAGTTATTCTAAATTTTTAATTAAGAAAATTATTAGTAATTGTACTAAAAAATTTCAAAGATAGCTTTTACAAAGTAAGTTTAGTAACAGATAAATTTTTATTATTAAACTTAATAAAATAACTCCACAGTTTCAGTTTTACTAAGAAAACTTAGTAATAGCTGACATTGCAGCTTCAGTTTTACTAAGAAAACTTAGTAATAACTGCCATTTCAGCTTTGTAAAATTTTGTTAGTAAAAAAATATTTCCGAAGCTGCAAATGCATTTTTTACTAGATTTTTTAGTGAAGGCATTTTTTACTATGTTTTCTTAGTAAAATAGCATCTCCAAGGCTGCAAAAACATTTTTATTATATTTTTCTTAGTAAAAAAGCATTTCTGAAACCGAGAAAACGCTTTTTACTATAGATTTCTTAGTAAAAAAGCATTTTTGAAGTTGTGAAAGTATTTTTTGCTATAGTTTTCTTAGTATAAAAGGAATTTCTAAAGTTAGGAAGGTGTTTTTTACTATAGTTTTCTTAGTAAAAAAGGTATTTCCAAAGCTGCAGAGGTACTTTTTACTATAGTTTCTTAATAAGAACTACCCCTGAAGCTTTAAAGATGACTTTATATTAATTCGAATCAAATCAAATATTTGAATACTTGATTTAAATTTAATTGAATCAAATCAAACATTAATTTGGATTTGATCAAATAAATCATTCTTTGATTTGAATTTGATCGAATCAAATCAAATATAAATTTGAATTTGTATTTGATTTAATTTTTAAATTGAATATTCAAATATCAAATCGAATTGCAGAACCCTAGTAACAAGTATTTCGCAAAAAATCTGATCCAATTTAAATCTAATAGATTTGACATATCAGATCGAATCAGATTTATCAGATTCAAATTAGATTCAAATTCAGATTTTGATTTGATTCAATCTGTTGGATTTAGATCAGATTTAAATTTAATTTAGATCTGATTTATTAAATTGAAATAAAAAATGCTGTTTCAAAAGTCAGATGCAGTATTTATTAATAAAAAATCAATTTTTTATTAATTTTTAATAACAAAATGCTATTTTAAAAGTCAGAGGTAGCATTTATAAATAAAAAATATTAAAAGTCAGACACAACATTTATTATTAAAAAATTAATTTTTAATAATTTTTTATATTAAAATGCTACCTCAAATATCAGATGTAACAATATTAATAAAAAAATTAATAAATTAATTTTTATAATAAAATGTTATCCTAAAAGTCAGACATAGCATTTATTAATAAAAAATAAATTTTTATTAATTTTTAATAACAAAATGTTATTTTAAAAGTTAAAGGTAGCATTTATTATTAACAAAATTAATTTGTATTAATAAAATGCTGCCTAAAAGTCAGATGCAATATTTATTAATGAAAAAACCAAATTTTATTAATTTTTTTATTAATTTTTAATAATAAAATGCTGTCCTAAAAGTCAAATGTGATATTTATTATTAAAAAAATTAATTTTTAATAATAAATATTACCCTAAAAGTCAGACACAGCATTTATTAATAAAAAAATTAATAAAAATTAATTTTTTATATTAAAATACTATCTCAAAAATCAGTCACGCCATTTAAAAAATTAATTTTTTTATAATAAAATGCTAATTCAAACGTTAGAGGTGGATTTTTATTAAAAAAATAATAAAATTGTTGTTTTTTACTATTAAAATGCCGTTCTGAACATCAGATGCAAACTTTTATTAAAAAAATAACAAAATTATTGTTTTTTTAATATTAAAATGCCGTTTTAAATATTGGAGGCAGATTTTATTCAAAAAATTTTTTGAGCCATTAGATATGAATATATATTCAAATTCAGATTTGTCAAATTCAGATTGAATCAGATTCAGATTTATTAAATTCAGATTGAATTAGATTCAGGTTTTTCAAATTCAGATCAAATCAGATTTTGCTCAAATCTAATCTGATTTGATTTATGCAAAATACTAGTGATAATAATACATTCAAATGAAGTAAAAGGATTTAAATATCAATTATTATTAGCAAGGATTATGCATAAGACTAACTTATGGACTAAAGCTGGTTTAGTAAACAGTTTGTAAGTATTATTCAGAAAATTATATTTGAAGAAAAACAGTTACCTTCTTCACTTCCTATTGTCATCCTGATAGAATTTAACAATTATTCCAACCCTGCTATTATTATTGAAGGTAAAAGAATTATTTTGATTTCTTTAGTTAGACATAATTAGGAGAGAAAAAGAGAAACTTATATATAGTTGTAAGTTTCTGTTTGTTTTGCATAGGTCATTATAATATACAAAAATTAAAGATTGATTTTAAAAAAGGCTGTAATAGATCTTAGAAAAAATGAGTATGCTGCTAAAATTTATTTGTAGTAATTTCATGGTTTTGTATTCTCTAAAATACTATTTTTAATCCTTTTTTCTTGAAAAAACTTCAACATATCAAAAATTTGTAAGAGATTGCAGGAAAGAATAATGAAAAACATGTTTAATCTTTTTGATTTCTCAAATAAATATATAACAATATTTTTATATAATACTATTTTATCATGTATTTAAATCATATACAAATTATATGATAGTTAAATGCTTATTACACATAAAATTTGCAGAAAATAAAAAATTAGAATTATGTTTCAGATGCTCTAATGATTCCTATTACCTAATTAATAATAAGAGACTATATCATAAATAAAAATTTACTTCAAGTAAGTATAATATTAATATTTATTTTATTATTATTTTATGATTAAAAATAATTTTTTTTTATTTAGATAAACAAATCAATTCAAAAACTTCTTATATGTCAAAACTACTTGATAAATTTGTTTGTCATTCTTTTTAAAAAAAGATAAAGATACATTTGATGATTTAGTTTAAAGTTAACAGTATCAGCTGAAATACTGTTAAAATAAGTAAAAAATAAAAAAGTAAAAGAACTTTTTAATTTTATTAATCCTGCTTTAAAACTTCCTGATTGTTGTATTTTTGAAGGTTGGATTTTACAAAAACTACATAAAAGATGGAATTAGATTTATAAAATAAAGTGCAAAATGATCCTATTATAATTACCTTATCTTTTAATAGATGAATAAATATTTTAAATCAAAATATTTTAGGATCAGTTTTTGTTATTTCAAAAGGTAAAGTTTTGGTATTAAAAGTTGAAGATGTTAGTAATGAAAGAGAAAGAAAAGAAGAGATTATAAAAAAGTTAAGCAAAAGCTTTATAAATGTATGCAAATGAAAGCAAAGTTAATTGCTATAGTTATAGATAACATTGCAGTACTTGGTAATTAGTAATTTAAAAAATAATTTTAATGTATTTTTATATAATTTTAAATAATAATTTTTTTTTAGTTATCATCTTTATCTTATATATCATTAAATTGTTTACCTTTTATATTTTACATATTAAATGAATTTATTTGCTTCAGAAATTTTTAAATATTTAATTTCATTTAAAAAAGCAGGTTTTAATGCAATTTTAATTGCAATCTACTTTCATATTTCAAAAGCAAGTATTTTATTGGTAACTTACATGATCTATAAAAAGAAATTATGATGATTATATACTTTTAGCAATGTTAGAAAATACATGTTGGAATAGTTATCATAGATATTATAAAATACTTATAAAATCCAAATCAGCACTTTAGATAAAGATTTTATAGAATTATAAATTATAATTCTATTATAATAATCTTATTTATTTATATTTATATTTTATTAGCTATTAGCATAAGTTTGAAGAGCAAGATAATTTAGCTAAATTAAGTATTAATTGAATAAACTTAACTTTATCAAAAAATATTATTAATATACTTTTTGATAATAATTGGTAGAGTCAAATTCAATAACTTAAAATCTTATTTCATTCATTTTGTAATATATTTAATATTTTACAATGTGATAAGACTCGTTTATATGAAATTCTTCATAGATTTGTATACTTTATTAGTTTTGAAATCATATGAAAATATTGAATTAGAATAAAAAATGCTTTGATGGTTACAAAAAAGATAGCATAATTGAAAGCAACCTTTACTTTTATTATCTTAGATGCTTCATTCTGATTATCATTTAAATTAAATCAATAATTAAAAAATTTAAACTAAATATATTTATCAAAATAGTTAGTATATTATTTATTGTCAAAAAAAATCTAATTCAATTTTACATGAATTTAAGAAGTATTGTATTGGTATAGAATTTTTATTTAATGAACAATCATTAATTTACTGGTGATGTTTTGGGATTTTAGATATAAATAAAATCTGAAACTAAAGATTTAAGTTTTATTAGTCAAATATTAATTCTGCTTTTGTAAAAAGGTTTTGATCTTGTATGAGATTTATACATACATATTATCAAATTGATACATGTAAGGAATTATAATTTAGTTTTTATTTATTTATTAATTTATTAAAATTTTAAGTTTCAAAAACTTTAAATATAAATAAATTATATGCAACAATTATCAAAAATGTAATATAATACATTTTTAATATTGGATGCTAATGCCTTACAGAAGTTTTAATTTACTAATAATACTAATGAAGTTATTTTAATTAATGATAAAAAAAGTGAAAATTTATCAATTTCTAAAAAAATGAAGATAATCAATTATTAGATTTAAATAATGATAATGATGATGATCTTAAATCAAATAATTTAGAGATTATAATTTATAATTGAAATCAAATAGGAGAGAATGTTAAGAGATGAATTAGAAGGACAAAAGAACATTAGTAATTTTTATGATAAAAATAATGAGGATTATATGAATGATGAGAATGAAAAAAATGAAGAAAATAGTCATATATATAATCAAATTCATCCTGCTATTGATATGGATGCTAAATAGTAAATAATTGATTTTTTGGTTAAACATTTAGAATCTCCTACTTTATTTGATAATTAAATAAAAAACTATCAATTCTAAAATTAAAATTTTTTTATTTTTATAAACAATAAATTTAAAATTTGATTGGTTAATTAATATTTAGTCACATGCATCCAATGATATACATTTCCTATGTCCCAAGCATTTGCTGTCCCAGCTATATGTCCCAACTATATGTCTCAACTATGTCTCATATATGTCCCAAATGTTCCATCTGTCCCATCAATGTCCCATCAGTGTCCCATCAGTGTCCTAACTATGTCCCATAACAACACTGCATCATGCATCATAAATTTGCCAGCTAAAAATTCTTTTTTAGATTCAATGGTCATGGTTATGGTCAATGCCAACCCTGCAATAGTCCTATTGAAGTTTCATATTATTCAAGTGAATTGTTTAAAGCATTACTTTGTTTTAACTGTAGTTTATAATGTGAAGAACATATGGGTTGTTACATACGAAAATCAGGTTTTGATCGTATGATTTATATAGTTCCGCAGCATGATTTTCGTGCGTACTAACCCATGATGAGTATTTTCCATATTATGAAGAGTGCAATACATTAGTTAGAAATAGAAAAAGAAGAAGGAAAGAAAAGAAATTTGTAACTAGTAAACAAAGAAATATTGAAACTAATTAGTTGAAGTCTGTAATTGGACGGTTCAGATCATAATCAAATCATAGAACTGGTTTCAGTTCAGTTTGAGGATTAAAATCCAACTAAAATCTAGTCGAATTGAACTGATTTTTAGATGATTAAATATATAATGCTGCGTAACTGAAAAAAAACACGTTGATAATTGATTATTTTGTATTTGCAAATATGTCTGGTAATATTTCTTATGATCCAATCAAAGTCAGTTCCATCAGAAAGGATCTTTTATGAAAATTGGATTTCAGAAAATTAAAAATTTTGTAGCAACGAAATAATTTTTTTTGTTACATATTTATAGGCTTAGATTAAAATTTATTTTTGTTTTTTTTTTCTCAGACCGCCCGAAACCGTAATTATAATAAAATTACAATAAAGTTTTAACCAATAAAATTACACTTCATAGTCACGTGATAACCTTTTTATATATAAAGATTTTTTATTAAAATTTGAAAAAGTGACCTGGCCGGGTAAAGTGAACTGAAAAGTCGAAGTTGCGTGGCCTAATGGCCTTTGTGGTTGGTTTTGTAACCGAAAAATACAATAAATGAATCCACGAAATGAAAGGCAAATCAGGTATATATTATATAGGGTATGTTATGTACGATATATCGAACATGTCTGTTATATCGTATTATATAGATAGATTGTATAAATAGGATGCTCTAAAGAGAGTTTATAAAAATAAAGTCATATTTTTAGATAGTCCATACGAGGCGTTGGCCTGAGTCACCCTTAGTTTTTATTGTCGTTATCATTTAATGCTAGCATATTAATAAACCTAAGATGCATTTATAATAGTTGATTTACTAAATATATATAGATTATTATTGCGATTATAATTCTTTATGCTAATGCTATTAGGCTATTTGCTATATAAATTTTTAATGTTTTAATTATTTTGTATTTATAAAATAATATATATTTACCTAATGACAAATTCAGGCATTATTAAAAAAAACAATGTAATATAAAAAACGGTACGATTAACGGAACCCCCCACGGGCAGTGATGTACATTTTCGATGTCCCAAACATTTTGAGACTGTCCCACACTATGTCCCAAAATGTCCCACATTAAGTCCCAATGTCCCAGGCCATGTCCCAAAAATGTCCCATGACAACACTGCCCACGGGTAGTACACAGTGCTCATTAATCAATGCATTTTAATCTCACAGTTCATAAAGTTCGAAAGACTAATATTACCCAACATACTGACTCTCAAATTTTTTAAAAAAGGACAAGCCTATGTAACATTAAGCAGATGTGATACTGGAATAACGTCAGAAGCAGGATAGCATTCGCCATGATAAACAACCACTTGAAATTCTCAATGATTTGAAAAAAACATTTTATTTTCATTAAAACAAAAATGTAGATAACCAGTGATCAAACAAATCAAATCGAAAAACACAAGTATGCGTGCACTGCAGGTAAAAATCTAATATACTTTACTTAACGGACGGACTAACCGAACCTACCTAATTATGTTGCCGATCACATATCAAAAATTCGAAATTTGGAGAAAAGTATTCTTATTTGCTATCTTAATGAACACTGAAGCCATTATACCGAATGCAGTCGTTATTCTTCCATAATGAGCAAAATGTCCACTTATGTTATAAAATAAAATAAATTAAATTATAATCGCATTAGAAAGGTGAAACTTTCTCTTCAATCAAAATTATTTGATGACAAAATGTGTTTTTTAATCATGTCACGTTATTAAGGATAATTAATAACTATATAAAGATAAAGGAGAGAAATTGCGCGACGATTTAATTATTCATTTTAGAATCATTAGACCAATTCGTGCCTCATGACTCATATGAAAGTCAACTTTTTTATGACAAAAAAAAATTACCACACGGCAAAGCATGCTTAGGGCAATTCATTGTTCATATCTCCGATGTAACTTAGAAAAAATGTGATAATTTCGGTAATGATTCGTAAAATGTTGGTTTTTTTAGAAATTTAACTATCATTGACGTAGTACAAACCTGGGACAATCAAGTTTGAAACAATTGATTCAAAGCATGTGTAAGTACCGTACCATTTTTCGAATCTGATCTTTTTTTTTTTAAAAAAAAAAAATAAGAATAAATAAAATGTATAAAAAAAATAAAAATAAAATAAAGGACATAATTGTAATAAATGAATTTATTCATGAAAATCGACATCAATAACAGCTTTTAGAGTAGGACCCGAATTTAAAATCTTATCTTAAGTGTAGGTCATTTCTAGGGTCTAGATATTTTCATGCGACAAAATTCTCAATCGGATTATGGAAAAGCTATTCGAAACGAGAACCTTTTCTGGGTTTAAAATCATCACGTTTAGATTAGATATTATGTAATATTATGTTATCATGTTTGAAATTGAAATACACATTATTAATCTAAAATTTTGTCATTTTATGACAATATTTGCTTTAAGCAAAATACTTGGCGCGTCTTTACTTGCTTGTGCTTTTGAACTTTAAAAATAAATAATAATTGTGTTCCAGAAAACTAGAAAACTTGATTTACAATAAGTAACCGGATCGACCCGTAAGAGATTAATTACCTTATTGTTAATACGATTCAAAAAGTTGCCAGCCTTCATCGATGAAATCGTAAAAATCTCAAACAGATGAATCGTCGATGTACTTTAAAAGAAATGCTTGTATTTCATAAATACAGAGTTGTTTTTGCGTGCGTAAGAATTTAGGGGTTAAAGTTTTCAATCAATCTCCTTTAAAAGCAATTTTGGTATTTGTTTTCGATTAAAGGCGCAAATATAAAAAATAATAAAATAAGAATAAAAAAAACGGAGATCGCCTATAAAGGAGAACTGATGAATTGCATTTTTGCTCGGTAGGAGTTCGATAGTTTCCGTTGTCACGTGACGCTGTGAAACGACAGCGGACCTCACAGATCGAAGGAGGTGTCATTACAGCATACATTTCGAATGTGTGTGATAATATCATAGTAAAACCACGGCAATTATGTGGTGAATTCTCGATGCTATTGTGCTTCGTAAATAATAAATATTTCATAATATGATATCAAGAAAAAATTATGAAGTATTCTCTTTCTAAATTTTTAAATAATCACAAAACGGATCGTGAAGGTAAGAAACAAAATAAAATATTAATAAACGTGTTGCAATGATATTGTACAAAGTAGCATTCTAAAAACTCGTTAGTCCAAATGTCGTCATTTTTATTATGTTACGCAGAAAGCAATCTTCGAAATTTGATTTTGTTCGGAATTTATTTTATATAATAGGTCAATTTTAGCCTTAATTTAAAGAACCTTTAATAAATAAATAAATGCTAATTGTAACCCAAACCTCTTTTGGCTTTTTTTTTGACATTATGTAAATAATAAGATTTTATCATCAACAATTCTTTCATCAAGTTTTCGTCAGCCAAATATGCAAGAAATAATAAGTGTTTTTTAATTTGAACACAAAAAAATATATATATAATTTTTGCTAATTAGGATATCAATTCCTTATTGGACATTTATGGTTAGGCTGCAGATATAAGAGGAAATCAAATTCTTATTCGCCGACACCTTTTTGGGGTTTATTTTTGTATTACAAAACTCTCCATAATTCTCCATAATTCATACACATACATATTTCCAATTCCAAATTTTTATGTACAAATTTAACATCCAAGAATTTAACGAGTAACATGTCTGTTTTTATTTTTGTTTTTGCTTTGTTTAACCAATTCCAAAGGTTCCAAACAAGTGAACAAAACATACATTGGTTTTTAATCACATCGAGGATCTAATGATCTCCTGAATCGTGAGCAATAAAATTATAGTGGTTTTTCCGATCGATGACGATTTCGGACTTTTTTTATCACAACAAATTATTAGTTTATCAATAAATAAAGTTTAAATTTAATAAAAAAAATGAATAATAAAAATGAAATAAAAATTACGACGCCAAATGAAAGCTCATGATCGGGCGAATAAGATTTAATACATCAAAAGACAAAATTTATTAATTTATTAGATCATGTGTTGCTTAAAACGAATATAAAACGGGAAGTAAGTTCTCTCCTTCGACATCTTTGGGATTGGGCGATCACTAATGGATAACAAAATTATACTCTCATAAGCCTGGTGGTTTAACCTTTTCTTCCCTATATTCTTAAAAAAAAAAAAAAAAACTTCGATTTTAGAAATCAATTTGAAAGATCATAAAATTTAAAATAAAAAAAAAATTCGTTAAAATGTCCCGATTATTCTCATCATTTAAAAATGATAACATATCACGTTTACCCAATGAGATTTTGTATAATTTGTTGGATCAGTTGGACGATAAAGACCAGCAATACCTTTCTTTAACATGTCGATGGCTCTATCGTTTAATAAGAATGAATCGTTTTGGTGCCGTGTCACCAGCTTGGGAAGATGCGGAGATTTCAGGTTCGGAGGGGTTACCCGCATCTTCATACCGTGATGGCGTGTTCATAAACGGTATTTTATATATTCCGATCCTTGCGAAAGAAAGTCCTTATTGTTGGTCCCTTGAATTTGTCCGATCTCCTTTGGTATTGATCCGAAATCCCATAAAGTTTGAACACGATACTAAAGATCATTACGAACCGTGTAAATTCGCAGCAACCGCCGCTATAGGAAATGTTATATATATTTTTGGAGGTCAAAATCTCTGCACAGAAAGACTTACCAATACGCTTTACGAATTAAATGTGAATACATTTGAATTACGACAGATACAGAAGAGTCACATGATACCGAAACCGCGAATGTTGCATACGCTAAATTCCATTGATCATTATCGATTAGCGTTATTCGGTGGAAAACTTGAAATGAATGGTAATTATTAATCTTTTTTTTATTGCTCCAATTTTGATATGATATCATCTAATCTTTTACTCTTGTAAACCCCTTTTTAAGGTCACTTTTACAATGCTAAAGAATTAGCGGTCTACGATACGAGGAAGAATGAATGGACAAGATGTGATGAAACCAAATGTACTCCATTTTCTCGATCCAATCATTCAACAATGTTCACGAACGGGAAACTTTACGTATACGGAGGCCAAAAAACCAGATCCCGATCTAATCGTACGCATGATGACCCCGATATATGGGTATACGATGTTTTGAGACTCGAATGGCAAAAATTTCTAAATTATGAAAACGAAAGGTTTATGTCGACAATTGAACTTCCCGAGAATTGGATACCAACGTCTGGAGCAAGTCCGTCGAGAAGATGTGGTGCCGCGATATTGCCAATTCGTAATCATCTAGCAATATTGGGAGGTAACGAAATTTGCGAATCGAAAAACGAAAACCGTTCATGGGAATTTATTAAAATTTTATCCCCGAAAAAACGTACCTGGGCTCACATAAGGATTAAAGGAATGCCTCTTATTGATTGTGTCGCATTTATGATCGATCGTAAAATCGGAACGAAAAACATTTTCGTACTTGGGAAAAACAAAAATGAAGAAAAATTGATTATGGGTTGGATTAAGGATACTATGAACAATAATTAGAAAAAAATTTTAGTAATGTTTACTTAGAAAGATCGAATCCTTTTATGCCCCTAAGATTAAGATTTATTTTAATTTAGATTTCACGCGTAAGAATAAGTAAATTAAGCACTAATTACAAATTAAGAAATAAAAACATAAGATTGTTGTTATATTATAATTATTATTATAATTCTTTTTAAGATGCGATAAAAGAACTCTATGAAGATTTTTCATAGTCGCACAAGAACAAAAATTGTCCATCACGTGTTACACGTTGCGCCATTATTTATGTGTAACAGAAATCATTACGCAATACAATATTTACATAAAATCGATGTTCAGATTAAGGGGTAAATGTAATTTCGTCATTTTACTTTGAATATTAAATCTTGGAGACGTTTTCATTAATGATATTTTTTTTATAACTTTTATTCGCTATATAAAAACTACTATATATATTCTAGTGTTTATCAATAAAAACATGGATACCCGATCCTGAGAAGTCCTGATTAAGTATATAGTATACATATATATATAAATTCTGTCAATTTGTACATCATTTACAAAATTATTATCACGTTCTGCTTTGATGAAACAATTTATGTATCAAATCATCGTTTGCCATGTGAAATTTTTGGTTATATCGTTGTTTTTTTCTTTGTATATAACCTTTTAAATTTTAACGGAAAGAATGATCACATTGTTAATCATAATAATGGGCCAGAAATTTCCTTAAACGAAATGTGAAAAAATTTTTCATACCGCTTCTTTTGCTTTTTTTTTTAAAAAAAAAGAAAGAGAATGAAAGATTTTATCCATCAATATTTTTTTTTTTTTTTTGATTCAATTGGATTAATTTGGTTATTTTCATATTCTGAGATTAAGAATTTTAACAAAAATTCAAGGCATATATTAACTGGTTCGGTTAGATAGAAGGGTGTTCTAAAAATAATCTGTTGGTAAGGGAATCAAAAAATCAAATTTTTTTCCTATGTTAAACTGCAATAACCCAACCAAACATCGCAAAGATTTCAAGAATGCCAAATTAGGCATTTGTATATGTAGATGATTGTTTAAAGTACAAAATCACGCGATTCGCTGAGTAATTTTAAGACCAACCATTTAAGGTTAAATGTTTAAGGTCAAGTTTCTCTAATGCTAGGTTATTTTTAAAGAATCTATGCGAATAATTAAAGTATATTAAAAATTAAATGAATAATCATGTACGGTATATGCAAATCTTTGATCTTTTCCAAGTATTAATGAAAAATAGTATAAAAGGATCCTATTTGCCCCTAACGCTTTCACTTTGAGGGCTTATCCTCCATTATGATCCAATTTTTATGATTATTTTTAACGTTAAAAAAATACCACCTTTTTTTTTTAATAAACTCGTTCATATTTTCTTTTATCTTTCATAACGACTCGCGAGTTATGAAGATTTTCGTCGGATGATAAAGCAACCAACTTTTTATTTCGAATACTTATTCGCATTTCAATTTACACCAATTTATTTCGAATTTATGATTTATTTCTCTAAAACGTCGATTATACTCGGTAAATATCTTGATTCAAAGATTAAACGTATTTCATACTTTCTATCGACTTACTTTTATTTAATCTCTGTTCCTTTAAAGCTAGGTTATAATTCTTTTATGTTGACAATAAATACTTAACCTTTTGCTTCTAAAGCAAGTTATTTATTCGTCAAAATTGTCAACAGTTAAATTGGTTGTAAATATGAAAGAATGGAAAACAAAAGAAAAATTCAGTAATGTTCGTTTCAAGCGATGACTTTCTTTTCTACCTTGTGTTAAACGCTACTTTTAAGTCCTATTTTAAGGCAGATTCTTAATTTATGTCTCCCACTTTATTTACTTCTCGCTTACAAGCAAATAAATAAAAATTTTTTTCTATGAAATTCGTTAATGGGATTTGGATGTTTCAGGGTACTCTTCAAAATAGGGGCTCGTAGTATCAACCAATGAGATAACGCGAGACATGAAGACATATTTTACTCCAAAATTATCTTACTTTAATTGTCTTTTAATTGTATTAAAAAATTAAATAATATTACTTAATCAAAAGAAACAAGGGCTAATTTATAAGACCAAACAATACTATCATTATCCAATAAAGGCATAAAGGCTACTATATTAATGCTGTGACTCTAAGTGATTAAAGTAAAATTAAGTTCCATTCAAAGCGAAAAGAAGATTATAATCAACCCCCTTAATAGATAATCACCATAAATCAAAAAAGGTAAATTTACTCGATGTAATTCTTATTTATACAAGATTTACATTGTAAGATTAATAATAAAAACTTTCAAAGATAAATTTTTTTTTAAACGGATACCTGACCAACTTTTGTTGTTAAAAAAACTTTATATTATATATTTTTCTTTTGAGCGACGTGGTTCCCTTTTTGAGGAGCTCGAACGGAACGATCAGTTCTAAGAGAACCGACTTGGGGGAATCGGCTATTTTTAAATTGTAATTGATTATTTTAAATATAAATAAATAATATATATATATATTAAATTAACAGAATTTGCGACTGTAATTTATGTGGCACAGTAATTTTGTAACGCAAATTTTTTTGTAACAGTTTTGTAATACCAAATTTTGTAACATCAAATTTTGTAACAATAATATTTGTATCAAAAAATTAATTGGTAACGGCAATTGCTAAAATAGTAAGTTTGTAACAGCAAATTTTAAAAATAAATTGACAATCATCGAGAAAAAATTCTTCTCGCTTCATTTAGTTGAAATTGAAGAAAAAGATGAAGAGACATCTTTTTAAAGAACATTGAGTGATGAAGAATTCAATCCCAACCAACTTGAGGATAATGAAGGTGAGTCCTTGATGAAGAAATTAAACGTCACCTGAACTACAAAAAAAATGGGTTCATTTTGTCAATTAGATTATCTAATCTAAAGGTTAAGCTTTTAAAGATAGTATACATTATATGTACAGTAAATTAATAAAAATGCTCTTTTTATTTTGCCAATCCTCCTGACCGGCTGATCTGGCTGACCTTTATTAAATAATTTTTTAATCATAAAGCTAAAAATCTTAATGCCAATGCTTACGCCCAACAAAACAGAGTGCCCATCTAAAAAAAAAAACATGACCAAAATTAATATTACAATGGAAAAATATAATTGAGACAGAACAAGACACTAATGAACAAAGTACTGATAAATGAAAAAAGGTTTGGTATTTTTGTGAACGGATAACCTGGAAGATAATGAAGAACAAATTCACAAACTTTTAATGCATGGTGCAACAAGTATCATTTCATCAAAACGTCTTTATGTTATTTAAGAAATTCTGCTTGAACCAAAAGACGTAAAGTTCAAGAAAAAAAATATACCTGAGCATAAAAAAAATCACTAATTTTAACGTTACGTCAATTACGTCAATATATAGAGCATTTTAGGGTTCTGGGACAGTTCTCAAATCCGCCTACAAACCCAGTTTGCTATACAATTTCCTATATCAAATCAATCCTCTAGCACATTTTAACTCAATTC